ATCATCATCATCATCATCATCATCATCATAATCATCCAGAACATCATCATCATCAACATAATTTTCAAATTCAACTTAATCACCATCCAGATCATCATCATTAATATCATCATCATCATCGTCCAAATGATCACGTATGGCATCATCTAAGTCATTATCATCGTCCAAATCATCTTCAACATCCAAATCATCATCTTCGTCCATATCATCATTATAATCATCGTCATCGTCACCGTCATCACCTTACAAATCATTATCATCACAATCCAGTTCATCATCATTATCATATTACAAATCATAACCATCATCATCATCATCCAAATTATCATCATCATTATCATTATCATCATCATTATCCAAATCATCATCATCACCATCTTCCTCATCATCATCATCCTGATAATAATCATCATCATCATCATCTTCATACTAATAATCATCATCATCATAATCATTTTCATCATCCGAATCTTCGTCATCATCATCATACAATTCATCTTGATCATTCTAATTATCATCATCAACATCATCATCCTAATCATCATCATTATCATCATCATTATCCGAATCATCAACATCATTATCTTCATCATCATCTTAATGAGGATCGTCCAAATCATCATCGTCCTAATCATCATCATTATCATCACCATCGAAATAATCATCAGTATTAATTTAAATCATCAACATTATCATCATCATTCAAATCAAAATCATAATCATACGAATAATCTTAATTATCATCCATAACATCATCACCATCCAAATCCAAATCTTCATCATCATCATCATCCAAATCATAATCCAACTCATCAATTGAGTCATCCTCATCATGACCATCAGCCAAACCAACATCATCTTCAAACAAATCATCATTCAAATCATCATCATTGTCATCAACATCATAATCAGCATCGACCAAATCATAATGATCATCATCTAAGTCATGATCATCATCACACATACCGTCAACATAATCATCATCATCATCCAATTCATCATTATCTTCATCAGGCGAATCGTCATCATCATCAACATCATTATACGAATCGTTACCATCCATGTTGTCATCCTAATTTTCATCATGATGAACATCATCATCAACATCTGCATCATCAAAATAATCATCAACATCATTGACATCTTACGAATCATGTTAATCATCATCTTCAATCATTCACATCATCATCATCACCATCGTCGTCAAAATCATGATC